TTATTTCTTAATTTACTTCTCTATTTTACAAGAATTATTTCGAATAAGAAAATTTCAACTAGTCAGTGACGCAAAAAATAATGCAAAAGTTTTAATATACCAAATATTTATATTTGGTTAGAGTAAATAAAGTACAAATATACTTTTGTTGTTGTTGTAACAGATTGGCTGCGACTGGATGTTCTTCCCTGAAAATATTAGATATTATTAATTATTTGGTGTCATGAGATATTATTGGAAGCTGGAGAAATTGTGCCACCTCAGTCGGTAGGCCTATGGGAGTTAAGTTTGTGGGCCAATAGGGACAGTTAAAAAGAAGCACTGTGTCATGAGGGATTTGGAGACAGACAGGGCATTGGTTAAGGGTGCCTGAAATAATTCGTTCTTGGTAGCAGTTGAGAATACTACTCCAACCGGCTCTTAACTCTGCGAGTGTAGAACGAGTTTGCCTGGGTAATTGCCTCTCACTATCCGAAATCGCAGGTGGATGTTAATTTAGCCTTTGACGTCGTTGGGTAGAGTGGAGTTCGAGATGTCAAAAAAATCGACAGTATCAAAAGCTTTGGATAAGTCCAGAGCCGCAACAATTGTGTGTTGACACGGTCGCTGCTGTTTGAGGCCGTTAGCGATTTGAGTAGTTATCGAGTTTAGAGCTGTCGTGGTACTATGAGATTCCCTGAAGCCATGTTGGTGGTTGGCTAGTGAGAAATGCTCTTTCAGGGATGGTAATAGTAGCGATTCTAAAACCTTTACTACTGGTGATACAAGTGAAAGTGAGTTTATCAGGTTTTAGAATGGGAACAATTCGCGCAACTTTCCAAATATTTACATAAATTAAGTACACGCTTTCGAATGGTTTTTCTTTTGTCAATCAGGCTTCTTTAATATTCACTTTTATAATTATATTTTATTGTTTTTTTATTATTTATTTTTTTATACTTAACGTGAACGTGTGGCGCGTGTCGGTGTCCCTCCAATCCTGCCCTTTAACTCCTACCTTTGGAAATATCTAGAATGTAATTCTAGATTTCTTCTTGCCCCTAAGTCTTCCGAGTGTGAACTTCCAGGAAGATTTCCTATTGCTTTTGCCCTGAGTCAGTGCTTGCTTACGGTATTACATCTAGAATGTAATTCTAGACTTCTTTCTTGGCCCTAATTTTCCCGAGTGTATACTTCAAGGGAAAATGTCTATCACCTCTGCCCTAATTTTCCTTTAGCAAATGTAAACCCGTTAAAGGGTTTGTTTGTCCACTGATTGTAAACCAGAGACCTAATCTTAGCCTTAATATGTTTCTTGCTAACCTAGCACTGCACACTGTAATTTTCTCGTTTTTTCTGTTCTTTTTTCGTTTTTTCTGTTCACTTGTTAAACCGCAAAAGAGACTGATTGTTCGTTTGTCTTATTTTATATTAATACTAGCTAACCCAGTGTGCTTTGCTACCCTAAAAACCACACTTTACGATTTTTGAAGATTCTATTTCTATTAGTTTCCCAGATGTATGAATTTTTATTTTAATGCATATGGGAGGTACCATCGCCCCTTTTCTCGTTTTTTCTGTTCTTTTTTCGTTTTTTCTGTTCACTTGTTAAACCGCAAAAGAGACTGATTGTTCGTTTGTCTTATTTTATATTAATGCTAGCTAACCCAGTGTGCTTTGCTACCCTAAAAACCACACTTTACGATTTTTGAAGATTCTATTTCTATTAGATGTATGAATTTTTATTTTAATGCATATGGGAGGTACCATAGCCCCTTTTGATAGTCCACAATAGGGGTATGGTACCTCCCATGTTCACATCAATGTGAAAATTCTTCGTGCAAAATTTGAGGATTCTAGATTCAAATATTCACATGTCCGAGTTGTTAGCGGAAAATTTATGGATTTTAGCTCTAATAGTTTCTCAGATATACAAATTTTTGTATTTAAATCATATGAGAGGTTCCAAGAACCCCAAATGAATGTCTGAACATTTTACTTCCAAATGTTCACTTTTATGTTAATATTAAGATTTTACCTCTAATAGTTTCCCAGATAAACGAATTTTTTATTTAATTCATATGGGAGGTACCACGGCCCCTATTGCTAGTCCGCCAATTTTCCCCCAAAATGTTCACATAGATGTTAAAGTACTTTGTCCAAAATTTACAGATTCCAGCTCCAATAATTTCCCAAATAAACGATTTTTTTATTTAATTCATATGGGAGGTGCCACTCCACCTATTGCTAGTCCGCTAAATTAGAGGACTCTAGCTGTTATATTTTCTCAGATATACTAATTTAAGGTTTTCTTTATATGGGAGGGGCCATGCTTACTATAGCTAGACCGCCCATTGTTCATGTGGATGTCAAAGTTGTCCATACAAAATTTGAGGACTCTAGCTGTTGCAGTTTCTGAGATATGTGATTTTAAATACTTATTATGTATGTGGGCGTGGCACTTTGCCCACATGAAATTTTAAAATAAAAAGTAGCCTGTAGCTCCCCCAAAATGTTCACATAGAATGTGCTTCGTGCAAAATTTTAAGATTACAGCTCCAATAGTTTCCCAAATAAACGATTTTTTTTATTTAATTCATATGTCCTAAGTATTCATGTTGATCCTAAAGTGGCTCCGAAAAATTTGAGAACTCTAGCTGTTTTTTCTCTGATATACTAATCTAAGGTTTTCTTTATATGGGAGTGGCCCTTACAAAATTTTAATACTTTAGCTGTTGCTGTTTCTGAGATATGTGATTTTAAATACTTATTATGAATGTGTGCGTGGCACTTTGCCCACATGAAATTTTAATTTATGCTCTTCTCAAAGTTATATTTTATTATTTTTTTGCACAATTTAAATACATTTAATAGCCCGAAAAGAATCTATTTTTTACAAACGAAAAAAATATTTTTTATTTTTTTGACATTAAATTTTTCGTGTTGAAATTAATACCCCATTTACACATACACGAAATCTAGTACTTATGAGATTTCGAGCCAAATCTACTTGATTTTAACTTGATTTCCCATACAAAACAAAATCTACTTCGTAACTAAATTTCGTTAAAATCTACTCAAAATCTAATAGTTTTTAGTGATGCAACTCTGTTTTTTCCTAAATAATACTAAAAAATACGACACTACACAAGAAAAAAGAGGAAAACAAAACAAACAAAAAAAAATTAAAATGTCGACAAAATTTTTATAAATTGAAAAACATGAATGAAAAGTTAATCTAAAATAAAAGGTAATGTTATATTTAAATATCTATTTTTTTTATTTTAAATGGAATTTTGATAAATATCCCATTTTTCCTTCTTATTTTTCATATCACACACTTTTTCAAGAAATATTAGAAAAAATGAAATCTTCTTAAATGTCAAGAATAGTAAGTGTAAACGGACTAGATTTGGAAAAAGATTTTAAATGAAATCTACTAGATTTCGTGTATGTGTAAATGGGTTATAAAACTGAAAAAAGACAATGTTGTAAATTTTCGTATGGTACAAGAAAAAAATATTTCAAATAAATTATTTACTTTTCAATATTGCAGATTAAAAAGCCAACATACATTCTTCTAAAATGTGTATAGATAAATTATGTTGCAAAATATTTAAAGAAATCTTTTAAAATAAAAATTTAAATGTAATATTTATTTCCAATATTTTTAAATCCGACTTTTTGCAACTATATTGACTTGAGAATTCTACTAATACATTCATAGAGTTAGGTACCGACTGAAAGTAGACTTAGGTACTTTTTGACAGCGTTTCACTTCTTGATGTTCAGTGGTTTAGTTTATGAAATTATTCTTCTGTTTTATCTTCTTTAAAATTGGGCATTCACATGAGAATGATAGTTTGACATTGAATACGAAATAAATAAACATATGAAAAAACGTAAAGTTATACGAGCTTTTTTAATTGAAATTACCAACAACATTTATACACAAGTGTAAACTAAAACAAAAATACACACGTACATATTACAACACTCCCTCTCAATTAGATAATTTTGATAAATCTCTAATTGCAACAAAGTTACTTTTATCTAACGCTTTCGTAAATACATCAGCAACTTGATTCTTCGTAGAAATATGTTGTATCTTCAAATGACCCTTTAAAACATGATCCCGTATGAAATGGTGCTTAATGTCAATGTGTTTTGACCTTTTACATTCAGCATTTTTGCCCATAGCAATACATCTAGCATTATCTTCAAAAAGTACGATTTGTTGTTCTGCTGTTGTTACCTTCATATCATCTAAAACAACTTTCAACCATTAGCCTTCCGAGGTAGCCAAGCTTAAAGCGACATACTCAGCCTCGCTTGATGATGTGGCAACTGTAGTTTGCTTTTTACTACACCAAGACACTGGACACCCGTACACATAATAAATGTAGCCACTTGTTGACTTTCGGCCATCTGTATTAGAAGCCCAATCGGCATCAACATAACCCACCAGAACATCTTCGCTTTTATAATGTTTGTCAAATTTAAGCTAAGTGACATAGTTCCTTTTAGGATTTTTTTAATAATATTGAAAAAATAAATAGATATGTATTAAAGGATAAACATTTTTAAAGGCAAAGTATAAAAAATACAAAGTATTTGCCAACTCTTCTTTTTTTTTTGACATCAAATTTGTCATTATTTTAAAATATTTTTTGAAAAATTAACTTCTTTAAAACTTTGAAGTCTTTGGAAAAGGACACAGGAACACGAAATAAAAAAATGCAATTTTTCTCCATTAAATTTATATTTTCAGACGTATGTATATCATTCGGTTCAGTCTAACGAATTTTTTCTCTTTTTGTCGGACGGTGTTATTGGCCATGAAGGTTTTTTCATTGATATTGAATAATAAACAAATAATTATTAAAATATACTATGCTTAAGGTATATAAGATTCAACATTTTCTAATTTAGCACTGTTTCTTATTTATACAAAATATATACCATGTTAACCTACACATATTTATAGATATTTTCCAATTTTTATTTTAATATTATTGAAGGCAAAAACACATTTGGCAAATATACATTTACAATATCGTAAAGACCGTGTCGCGTTTGCAAGGTGTTTCAAAGAACTGGTAGAAAATTGTCCTGAATCTGAAAGTTATTTAATGCTGGGAGAGGCGTACATGTCTATTCAAGGTAAATTTTATACATACATATAAATATATATGTATATATATAAATTTTATTTTTACTCCTTATTAGTATTTAATAAGTAAATATTACACACGTATTTTAAATTTAATAACTAAATAAATGTATTTATTTCAAATCAATTATAAGAAGTTAAATTCAGTTAGATAGATAATTAAAAATGTGCAGAGTTGTGAAAAATGGATATTTGAAATAAAAATAAAAAATAATCAAATACTTTTATTTTCATATAAAAATACAAAATAGATCATATTCAATTTCTTTGAAATTAAAAATATAAATAACTATTTTCAAAATATTTTACTCAAATAAAATAAGTTTTTTATGGTTCAAATGGATGAAAATTTAAACAAAAGCAAATTGCTCCAAAATAAGATTGATACGGAATTTTACACAGCTATTTTTGCATTTCAGGTGAAAAAATACAAAATAAGTATTTGAAACGTTTCAAATAAAATATGAAATATTTTTTGAGGTAAAAAAATTTGTTCAAAATAAAATACATATTTTCTATTTTTATTTTAAATAAATTTATTTGAAATAAGTTACAACTCTGAACATGTGAGCAAACCAAACAAGTTCAAGAGAGAGAGAGAGGTGGCATAATTAAAATAAAAGTGTTGACCACCAAGGCACATACAGCTGTGGTCAGCTAATTGAAAACGCTCTCTTTATATTACTGCTTGAAAATATTACGTTAGATTTTCAGTTCCAAACACTTGTATAAAGTGATGTTGTTATAATAAAATGGTATGCATTTTGTTGTGGAATATTTCTTATTTCCTTTTTATACCCTCCACCACCATCAGTGGTGATAGAGGGTATATATAAGTTTGTCATTCCGTGTGTAACACCAAGAAATATTCATCTAAGAACCAACAAAGTATATATATTCCTTATGAAATTCTGAGTCGATTTAGCTATGTCCGTCCGTCCGTCTGTCTGTCTGTCTGTGTAAAACACACTCACCTTAAAACGAAGCAATGTAATTTAACCGAATTCACCCAAAATATTCATTATTATCCGGTACAGTTTGGTATTGAAAATAAGCAAAATCGGTTCACATCGGGAAAAGTTATGAATCAAAATTTAAAACAACTCCGAAAAAATAAGCATTTTTACACATTCTGATGTAATTTTCTCGAAAACTATGCAAGATAATTTCATGAAAGTCATCATACATTCGTTTTTACACAAGATCTTGATTCCTGCTGAAAATTACCATACCATTACATATACCTCCCATACAAAAGTACATATTCGCGGAAAATGAGTTTTTTGTTAATAACTTCTGTCAGAATGTTGATATCTTCACAAAATCTTACAAATTAAAATCTTATGTCAATGGAATTCATTGAGAGAAAAAATTTTCTGGATCGGTCCATAATTGGACATAGCTCCTATACAAGGTCCCCTCCCGAAAATCACTTAAACGCACATAACTCACTACTAAATTAAGATATCCATATAAAATTTGGTACAAGTATTGCTCTCAAATACAGAAATATTACTTTGAATTTTTTCCGATCGGTCCATAATTGGTCATAGCTTCTATACAAAGTCCCCTTCCGAAAATCACTTAAACGCACATAACTCATTACTAAATTAAGATATCCATATCAAATTTGGTACAAGTATTGCTCACATATACAGAAATATTATTATGGAAGATTTTTTCGGATCGGTCCATAATTGGTCATAGCTCCCATACAAGGTTTCCTCCCGAAAATCACTTAAACGCACATAACTCATTACAAAATATTGATATCCATACATTTAGCACAAATATTGCTCTTATATACATAAATTAAACTATAAAATTTTTTTACGATCGGTCCATATTTGGTCATAGCACTCATAATAGGTCCCCTCCAGAAAATCACTTAAATGCACAATTTTCAATGCCAAATAATGATATAGATACAGAATTTTGAAATTTTGTCTTTATATACATAATTGGTCATACAAGGTCCTTTTACGAAAATCTCTTAAACGCACGTTACTCATTACCAAATAAACCTATTGATACAAAATTTGGCACAAATATTAGTTTGGTATACAAAAATTCTATTTCAAAATTTTTTCACGATCGGTCCATAACATGGGTTCGGTCGGTCCCATGCAAGTATCCCTTCAGAAAATCACTTGAACACACATTATTACTAAATTACGATATAGATACAAAATTTGACAGAAATATATGAAATATGCTTAAAGAATTTTTTACGATCGGTCTATAATTGGTCATATCTCCCATCCTAGGTCCTGTCCCTAAAACCAATTTAACCGTATTTAACTAGTTGCATTATCAATTTGTGTAGAACAAAATTATATATATGTATTTTGAAAATCCTTAAATCTTACACACACATGCATATATGCACATTATTAAATATCGTTAAAGCATATCTTAGGGCGCTATAAAAATATAAAAGAAAATGGGGTTTGTAATGTTCAATAAATCTTGGAATTGTAACAGATTTAAGCTGTTTAAATCTTTGGGTTTTTCTATTTAAGACATGAGAAAACTTATTTCTACAAATATTTGATCAATTAAAATGGTATTAATATAAAAGTAGCTGGTGGAGGGTATTTAAGATTCGGCTCAGCCGAATATAGTACTCTAACTTGTTTAATTTTGTATTTGGTGAAAATCACCCAAAGACAACTAATTGGAAACGGCCATATTTTATAAATTTTTTTAAAGTTAAATCTAATTTTGATAAAAAATTTAGTATTTTGTTATTATTTTTAATTTAATGTATAAGAAATTATATATCATTATTTTTAGGACTAATAATGAAAATAGGCCAAAGAAATACTCCTGTCCGGGTTGATCCATTTTCGCAAAGTAGTTATATCTAATTTTTCTCAAATTTACCGCTAGATGCCCGTGGATGTCATTGGGTCTGCTTTGAAGATTCGTCTTATCATTCGGTTTGGGATGGGCGGATGTTTTTCTGGAAAATTTTTGACGCGGAGCGTTAATATAAGTGTCATATTTTTTAATATGCTATAAATAACTAAAAATATTATTTTTCGAGCAATAGGGCTGTTCTTTTATATTCTTTTACGACTTACAAGCTTTTTGAAGTTCAAAAATGGATCTACCCTGGGCAGGAGTATTTCTTTGGCCTATTTTAATTATAATAATAATTGATTGTCATGCTTTACAAACGATATTTTAATCACATCCAAAAATGCAATTACATATATTTCGCATTTATAAACCAAATCTTTCCTTACAAATGAGAACCCAGTTAAAAGTGAGGAAAGAGATGTAGAAAAGTCACTACAAAAAACATTCGAAGTACTTAACATTTGGCTGAAAAACCAATGCAATTTACATAAGCGTTTCATTGAAAGAATGTGGTTTATTTTTGACATACAAATATCGGATTTTTACAGCTTCTAAAGATAAGATTAGATGTAGTTCATAGTTGTCAAAAATTAACAACATCCCTCCAATGACACGCTAATGTAAAATTCATAGGTTTTTCACCTGAATTTGAAGCACTTCGGGTTACTAGTTCCCAGCAAAAAAATTTTGAAGTTGTTAAAGAAGAAGGGATATTTTCATGATTTCTTTAGTAAGTATTCTATTTAATGCTTTTTAAATACATGCCTAAATTCTAATAAATTTGTCATCAGTGAAGGCATGAAAAATGCACCCAAATTCACTCATGTAACTCCACTATAGGAATTGTAATATTTTACTGTAATTTGGTATTCTCTTAGGAGATTTAACGAAAACGTGCATTTCATACAATAAAGATTAAAAATGACATTAATTTTTTTATTAGATTTTTGTTAAAATTAGTAATATTAAGTCCATTAAAATTAGTAATATTAAGTCCATTAATAAGAGAAGGAAAAAACCAAGACTGCTTAACGGATTTTAAAACACAATGGGTATTTTTCCTCTGCATGAATTTAAATCCAATCAAAATCAGTTAGTTATGTTTTATCTTATTCTATTTTTGTCAATATCACTCAACAAAATTATTTAAATATTGATAATTAAATCGAAGTACCATTAATGCATTTTTAAATAAATATAGTGCACCAATGAAAATTCGCTTGAGAATCATCGAATATTCATTGGTTATAAGAACTCATTTAAATGACGAACTATTTTTGCAAATACGAACCCATGCATGCCAATGACACGCTAATGTTAAAATCATGCATGTTTCCCCTAAATATGAACCAGTTCATTATCAGTTCAACCCATGCATTTACTACTTTTTTTGCACGTCTTTTTTTGCTGGGTTGTGATGAAAATTCTACATCTTTTTCCACACTTTTTTTGCTAGGTTGTGATTGCTTGCTTGATATGTCATGTTGATTAAACAGTTCCTCCTGGGATGTCATCGGAGGAGTCATCCCAACTTTAATATCACACAGTTGGATGCTCCCCCGAGGCATGTCAGAAAGGATCTTCGTATATACGAGGAAACATATGCAGATATGTGCAGGATCCATTGGATCAGTCGTCGTATACGATCGGGATGGAGCAACATGCTTAATATCTACTGGTCACGTATAGACCGTGCCGTCCCCAACGAATCCCAGCAAAAAATAATTGATGTCATACTTTACAAACGACATCTTAATCACATCTAAAAATGCGATTGCATATTTTTCGCTTCTATAAACCAAATATTTCCTTACAAATAAAAACCGAGTTAAAAGTGAGGAAAGAGATGTTGAAAAGTCACTACAATAACAATAACATATACATCAAATTTTGGTGAAAAACCAATGAAATTTACATAAGCGTGTCATTGAAAGAATGTGGTTTATTTTTGACATCCAAATATAACATTTTTACTGCTTCTAAAAATAAGATTAGATGTAGTTCAAAGTTGTCAAAATTGAATAACATCCCTCCAATAACACGCTAATGTAAAATTCATAGGTTCACCAAAATTGGAAGTAATTCAAGTATGTTATTTGTAGTGAAAATTTTACTTCTTTTTCCT